ACATCCCATAAGTGAATCCGCCTGACATGACAGCAACAGAACAGGTCTTACGCTACGAATACGCAAGACGAGTTTTGATGAAAACTGTGCCCACAAATCCATATCTTATCTCCTTCGTTTAGCTCGAGGAGTCGGTCTGAGCAAATGTGCTCCGGAAGAAGAAGAATCCCAGTTTAAGCCCTGTCAAAAAGTCAGTTGAGTAATAATTAGACAACACTTGACTTAAAAACTTACCTCCTCGCCTTGACACGGATTAACTTCTAAGTTAGGATAGGCCCTACGAACAATCACCCATCCATGCACACCTGGCGCCTCCCTCATGACCTGATCGAGGTTGAATAGAATCGATTGAACCGCAGTCATCTTGATATGAGTCGACCTACGTCTGGTGATGAAAATTGGATTCGGCTAACAATAGAGGACCCTCGGAGGCTGTGAATCAGAGCCAAACCACAAACCAGAATAAATACCTTACACTCAACGCTCCTCATACGCCGCGATTCTAGAAAAGGCATAACCAAATGCAATGCATATGGCTCCCAGGGTTGTTTATAACTTCCATAATCGTATCACAATTCACCCCTAGACTACAGCCTATTCCTCTTAATACGTTGATTCATTCAACTTCCAATGCATTACAACTCCAACCTCAGACGCTATTTCCATCTATGGTTTCTTCAAAGACCTCTTACCTCTCACTCGGCACCTTAACCTCACCGAATTTCTCATTCCAGTCACTCACCCATTTGTCCCATTCCATGGACTCTCCCTTGTCACCTCTTGCTCCTAGCCTCTCAACAGTCGATATTACTTCCTAAACCCAACCGACAAGTCTCTATTTCCTCAAATGTCAACTCAGCCCTTAACTCCCCCGTTCATGATACACGACAATCCTTTTGTATTCCTCTCACCTAAACTCACAGCATATCCTTCAACAAGTTCCTATCCCGGTGTTTCTCAACCAGACATCGGAATATTTCCCCTCCTCCCACTAGGCCCTGCCTCAAGTTCTATCCATAAAAGTATCCCTCAACTGAACCCTTATTTCTGCACAATTCCAACCCACCTCTTACCCTTTCCAATCATAAGCACTCCCCCTATAGCATCTCAATCCTGTTCGACAACAAAACAAATCATGTTGCCACCAACAGAAGCTCACAATCTTCCACAAATTTCCGGCTGGGTTAAGATTCATTCTTTATCTCCTCATGTCTGCGCTCATGATACTACTCAAATCAATGTATGTACTCCTATATCTTTCACCCTGACAAGTTGATTCTGACATCCAACTGTTTCCAGGATAAAGATTTTCTCCTCTCCATTATCGATTCCGACCTTAAGCGTCTCAACCCTGAATTACAAATAACTTCCCACATTTGGATCAACGCATTCATTACTAGGTCTGATTCTAAGTTCATCTACCTTACCGTACGTTATTCCCTCAAAACTACACCTCAATGACCCCTTGATACTTACGCCCATTGCAACAATTAATTCAGGTCAAACACCTCAGTTACAATGCTCCACTCAACTGACCACGACCCGTGTTCTCTTCTCATAATTCTCTCACCTCTTCTTGCTCAAATCTCAAAATCATCCTGTTCCCGCCCCTGAATTCTTATTCTTATGTAATTCTTTTTTGTTCAACGTGCCAAAATTACCTATTCACTGTAACATACCTCCAACCTATGCTTAAGCATTTCTCAATATAATACAATACAGTCCTTTTCCACTGCTATCATTCAATCCTGTTCCACTTGCACTCAATATAGGCTACTCATGCTCGCAATAAACACATGCTAAAAGACAAATGCCAAGAACACCTTGCCTCATAATCAGCATACGCATTTATTTGTGTTTTTACGCAGTCCCCTTTTCCGGCAATCCAATGCCCTTGGTACTGGATTTATCATAACCCTCTTCCTGGTCCTCCACCAGCGGCGAATCATGATACAGTTCAAGTCCGGTCCAAATACGAGATCTTAGCTCTCAGCTTCAACCTGCAGCCTTTTCTTTTTCCGGTTACTTGAACCATCCATTGTGACAGACTAATTCTCCACAATATATACCCCTCTCTTCCTTTACCCCATTTTCATCATCCGTCCAAAACACGAAACGGTCCACCTCAAACTGACCTTATCAACCTGTTCCTTTTCCGTATTCATCTCAGGTTTCAATATATTCCTCTTCCGTTCCTTCTTTATCGACGAGTCTTAAACTCTTCCATAGAACAAAAAATTATTTACTTTTTTCATCTACTACAGCCCCTTATCGAACAAGACCGGTTTCCTACTCATTTCTCTCTGTTATGATATACGCTCCACTTTGGCCTTCTGCCTAGAGCACTAACCTACCACCACAACATAAATACCCGTCATGTTTGTGCTCGGTTGCTCATTCCTCAATCCCTCCC